CACAACAAAAAAAAAAAAAAAAAAAAAAAAAAAAAAAAAGGGGGGGGGGTCAACCCATCTAACCTTCCCTTCCTCATGTTTGGCCAAATTAAGAAGCCTAGTGTGTGTACTCTGTCCCTGCACTAAGCACAGGCCCAGTCATTCTCAGCCAGGGTTCTAGCAAAGGATGGTGATGAGGTGCTAAAACTGTCTTCTAAGCTGAGCCATCTTAGTCCCTTGGAAAAAACAACCAGAGCCACGTAAATTCTACTGTAGACTGGAGCAGAAACTAACTCAACATTCCCTGTCCCTCTCTCTACAAAGAGCCTCTTTTATTTTCGGCAGAGGAAAGCTCACAAGATTCTGAGAAATCAAAAGCACATCTACATCACCTGCCCTATTCTATAACTAAAGGACCAAGACAAACACACACTAGGTCAAGAGCCAGAGGACAACTTTAATCACCCCCTACCAGTGACTCACTGGCTAATCCTACTAAGTGTTCTGTGTCAAGTTCTTGAACAACATACTGCTCTCAGCAAGTACACCCATCTCAACTATAGGGCAGGGCTGTAGCTTGGAAATACTTTGAAAATACATAGAGGCACTTACATATGCAAAGAAGTTCTTATCCATTTAATAACACCTTCAATAAGGATATCATATGATGATGAAAACAAGAAAAAATGTGGGGATGTGGTTCCGTTAGTAAAGTGATTATTCTGCATGCACGCAGACTTAGATTCAGCCTCCAACACTCCATAAACTGGGAGCATGTGCCTATAATCCCCTAGGCAGACACAGGCAGAAAGATAGGCACAGACACAGTACTGATGAGGATACAGGACATGAAAGAGCCAGTATATGCCATACAAAATGGTATAGCTGCTATAGGAAACAATGCAGCAGATGCTCAAAATCATGAAGGTACAGTCCTATAAAACCTGGATCAAGATTGTTACCAAACCAGGAGGGGCACACACCTATAAGCCTGCACTTAGGAAATAGGTACAAAAGGATCAAGAGTTCAAGGCCATCCTTGACTACATAAGACCCTGTCTTCAAAAGAAACCAAAACAACAAAAGCATCAGAATAGCCATGTCAAAACCCCCAATGCTTTAGATCCATAGGAAATGGCAAAGCTTTCTTGACAGTGTTGATAATGTGCAGAAAATACCCAAGCTAGTTTCCCCTACACTCCCATGGCCTAAAGAGACTGTCAGCTAAACTTACTTCTTCAATTCAGCTGTATGCTATAAATCCTGCCTCCATGTTTAGTTGTTCAACTGTAAACAGTAACTGTGCTGAGCTTTCCAGGTGCTGCAGTTTCTCCATCAAA